CGTATATAAAGATCTCGTAGTTATCCTTGTCCACCCGCTTACACATTGTAGCATAGTAGCATAGTATTTATGTATGAATTGCTCACATCTTACTAGCTAACGATAAATCAGTTGGACAGACCATTTCTACAAAGATATCCGGGCAGATAACCGAACGGTCCGTCTGCAGAGGTAACATAAGAGATCACTTCTTTCTGGAGTATTTCATGGAGATTCGGATAATGCCCATGTCACCGGATATTCATATTTGAGAACAGCAGCCAAGGTGATACGCAAGGAGACACATGAAGGGGGTTATTAGGAGAGAGAAGCGTTTTTTTATTATTTCGAGGTTTCGTTTTCAAGGGTCAGATACACCGCAATAAGGAGAGGTAGGGTTGGTAAAAGGTGGTAGCATTGCAGTAAATCAGGGATAGGAAGGGAACGAGAACAGGGTACATAAGTCGAGGAGATAAGAGTGAGGTAAAGGCATGGATCAATATGCCCCGCCAGCTACGAACTGACGGCACACAAGGTGGAAGGATGACAAGGACAAGGACAAGGAGGAGGTAGAGACCGGGATGGTGGCGGAGAGGTCTGCAGTTCAGGAGTCGGGGTAAAGACGGGTTAGGGATATCACGGTGACAGTTCGGCTGGATATGGGGAAGCGAGGGAGGGAATGGAGGCGTGAGACTGTTGTGATTGACAAAGTTGAGGGTTAGGATCGAGAGACATTCGGGTTGCGATGCAATTCAACGCATAATGGTCGATAAAGACCACACAAACTTGGTATCTAAATACGCATGTGTACCCTCCATCCATTGCAGTGAACTTTTGTCTTTTGTGAATAAGAGCGACGAGAGGCCAGAACCTCCAAAGAGAGCCGAGGGAGAAGATCAAGAGAGAAAGACCTAAAGCAATTGGAATCAAATAGAGGAATAAAAAGGAAATAAAAGGAGCGCTAGCACATGACCGCCGCTGATCGTGACCGACAAGTCTTCAAGGAAGTCGTAAGGTCAGAGAACAAAAAGGAGTCCTGCTAGGACCGTGTCATCCGCACACACACAGGGATGATCCCCAGGGATTTACTCCTGGGGAAGCTGGCTGCGGCGAGTCTTCTCAGCTTCCAGATTCTCATAGAGAAGGTACAGGGCCTTTTCGTTAGCCTGAGCACTTCCCATGATGGTGAACATGCGCTCGCCGGTCTCGTCGTGAGGAGCCTTGGCGATCGAAATCCGAGCGCCGGAGCTTCGGCGAATCTCTGTGATCTTGGTTCCGCCCCGGCCGATGATGCATCCAACCATGTCCGCAGGAATGCTGATATTCTGGGTCTGGATCTCTTCGCCATCTTCCGTAACCAAGGGGTAGCCGCGGTTTCCAGCATCGGAGTTAGATCGGCGGTTATAGCCACCATCGCTGAAGTCGGCGCCGTTGCCGGTGCGGTTGTACTGACGGCTGTTGGTGTTGTTCTGGTAGCCATTTCCAGCCGTGGGGTTGTTGTTGAGCGGCTGCGAGCTGCTGAGAGAAGCACGCACGGCGGGGTTGTAGAGAACAGTACCGGTGCCACGCTGCCAGTCGTCAAGCAGGCATTTGCCGATTTCCCAAATTGCCTTCTCGATGCCCTCGGGGGTACCCTGGACCTCGACAATGCGCTCTGTGGATTGGGGGAGCATTTCCTTCTGCGCAACCATCCGAACACCCGATGCGTCCTGAATGTGCTTGATCTTCAGGCCCTGTCGTCCAATGATGGTGCCCATCTGGTTGTGGGAGATCAGAAGGCGAACGGCTGGAGAAAGTTAGAACAAGTTCGGATCAAAACGGGAATTTTTCCAGACTCTCTGTACGGGTTCTTCAAGCTCCCCATACAGAAAACTGAGTCCAAATCAAAATATCCAGGGCGACAAAAAAGAATATCACTTACGGTGGGTCCCATTATTAGAGACAATACCACCCATACCCATCTGCGGGGCACCCTCCAAAAGACCCTTGGCCACGATCGCATAGGCACGAGCAAGCGAGCGCAATTGACCAGTAACAGTCAGGACACGGTCATGAACCCCGGGAACCACCTTGCTCACACCAGCCTTGACACCGGTCTCGTCGCGGAGGTCAGCAACGTTCTTGCCAGCCTTGCCGATGATGACACCGGCCTCCTTGGAGGAGACAATAGCACGCAGAGTCAGCTCAGCAATAGCATACTCCTCCTCAGTCTTGAGGGGGGCCTCGAGGTCACCCTGATCAGCGAGGTTGTCGCTGAAGTTATCAGTCATGGGCTCGTCCACGACAGCGGTTTGGTGAATCTCAGTAGAATCCATTCTGTCGGTAATCGATGGAGGTGGGAGAAGCGGCTGAGCGGTTTGAAAGGGTCAAGTGAGCGGCGGGATAGAAGGTTTCTTTAGGGCCGTACGGTCGCGAGACGCAGCGGTAGAGACTTCACACCCAAATAGTGGCAAAAGTCAGTTTTGTAATAGAGGCAGAAAGAAGTGCGCATGGCAGATGCAATGCGCAAAATTGACAAGTGACGGAAACCCGTGAAATAGGATCAAACTGCTAGAAAGAGTGAGGACTCACAGATGAGGGAGATAGGAAGTGGAGAAATGGATGAGAGGGGAAAGTGGCAGAATCCTGGATAAAGGGAGGAGAGGAAGATGAATAGGAAAGGGGCACTCGATGAGAGAAAGGGGGAAGAGGAGAAGAGGAGAGGAAGAAGAAAAGGGAAGAAGGTGAAGGGAGGAGGAGAGATGGAGATGTGAAAGAGTTGAAGTTCAAGTGTTTTGCTTTAAGCGGAGAACCCGAGTATGAAAATCTGCCTCTTTTTTTGACTTCTTCTTTTTCTTGTATAATTTCTTTCTTATAATTCTACTCTTCTATTGCGTTTTTCCTATTTAATATCACCTAGTTATACATACATTTTCTACTTATCAGCCTGGAATATCACTTTCTGCACCTGGTGCGCATTGAATAGCTCGTAGCCCTCCACTGCCTGCGAAAGTGGCATAATCTTATCAGTCATAAAGCCAAGCTTGTGTTGGTTCCTCTTGAGAACCTCCAGAGCCTGAGGAGCAACAGACCGAACAGGGCATCGCCCCATCTGGACAGTGAGGTTCTTGGAATAGGCATCATTGCCGTCCCAAGGAATCTGAGTACCTCATTAGCAACAATACTAAAATCGATACAGATCTACTTACCTCTCCATTGTGGACACCAACACTGCTAATGGTTCCCCAAGGCCGCAGAAGCTCGAAGCCAGTGCGCAAGGCAGGACTTAGTCCGACGACTTCGATGACAGCATCGGCACCACGTCCGTTTGTCAGCTCCCGGACACGCTTGTCTAGACCAGCCCGGTCCAGCTGGAAATTCCACGGTTCAGCACCGAGCGACTTGGCAAGCTCCAGTCTCGACGGGACGGAGTCAACCGCCAGGATATGCTTGGGCTTGTACTCCAGAGCATTGATGAGCGCACAGAGACCGACAGGTCCACATCCAATCAGGACGACTGTCTGTTCAGCAATCTGCTCGGGGGTCGAGTTCTTGAATGCATTGTTGGCTGCAAACCAGCCTGTGGGGAAGATATCTCCCATGAGCACCAGATACTTCTCGTCAACCCCCTCGGGGGCCTTCATGACGGAACCGTCAGCATTGGGGATTCGGGCCTGTGTAGTCTCAATATCAGCATATAGACGAACATCATTATATGCTTAGAAACCCACATATTCAGCCTGTCCACCGTCCAGGCTGTCACATCCAAAAAGACCGTTCTTATCACAGCGCGAAGACCACCCTTGCTTGCAGTAGAAGCATTCGCCGCTATCATGATGTCAGTGCAATGTTCGTACAATGCACTGCAAAACAAGAATCTAGTGAGCGTGCAACTTACCAGGAGGTAGTAAATGCAGTGACAACCCGGTCACCTTTCTGGAGGGTCTTGACAGCGCTGCCCATCTCAACGATCTCGCCCACGAACTCATGGCCCATGATAAATCCTGTTCCTGCAGGCTCCACGCCACGGAACATGTGCAATTCACTATATAGTTACGAATATTAGCACTGACGGCCTTTTCGTAAAATAAGTATAGACCAATCCCACCTTCCACAAAGCGCAGTATATCCCACCTTGACTACAATATCCTCTGGGTTCTGCACCTTGGGAATAGGTCTCTGTTCAAGAGCGACCTTATAGGGGCCGTGAAACACGACCGCCTGCATCATACCAGAACCAGAGGGAGTTGGGGTCATTCTGATGATAGTCAGTTTCAATCGGATTATAGAGAAATCCGGTAGTTGAAGAATGGCAGCAGAGACCTACTTTCGGGGGTTTTTGGGGGAATTCGGAAATCAGGCTTTGCTACAATGATGGCTATTTCAAGCCAAATCTTTTCAATATCTAACAGATTGCAGACGGATCCGAATTTGAAAAGAAATCTACGAACTTCTCCGGTCTCGGGCTTCTCTGCGAATCACCTGGTGGGGCTGGTACACGATGCCCACAGTGGTTGGTTTCCGCTGAAAACGCCGAAAATAGGATATACAGATGGAGACGGCTGCTTTTCCAGTACGAAGATTCAGTTCTATACGATGTATGTATCTCTGAGTACATACAGAATAATCTGAGCTACCACTCCAAGCAGACCATTCACTCTTATGGATGGATGCTACATGGAAGAGAGATAAACTGTTAAACTGTATTCCAAGGACGCTCAGAAAGGCTGGCATGACACCCAAGTCCTGCTCTGCAAATGTGTACCTAGTTCCAGCTCCATGGGGCCCAAAGAAACCGGACAAAGAAAGGCAAATACTCCTTGCGACGCCTTTCACAAACACCAAAGCTGAGAAAGAGAACGGAAAACGAGCCGCAAGAATCAGTCTTGAAAAGCACAAAAATACCATCAATGCTCAGAGAATGCAATCTCATTCTTATCGTAAAACCGAGAACCCGGCCTTTCAGGTGCACGAATTGAAGATCAAGATCGACACGACACACCTGAGGGCCATCGCATGAGTGGAAGGAAGTCTCCCTCCCACTAACAAACGACACAGAATAGCTCTTCCTCGAGGATGAATTTGCCCTCCTTGTATTTCTCACTGCTCTCGTATGCCTTGTCGTACTTCCATCCTACGGTTTCCTTGCACTGTCTGCAGGCGATGTCGCGCACGATATGTCGACCTGTCGTCATGTTGCGCTCTACAGCTTCGCCTTGCGTGACGTTGACGACTTTATTAAAGAGGTATGCTTTTCCATGCTGGCCTCGGAAGTTCTAGGGAGTCGAAAGTCACGGGTCAGTAAAAGGTCATTCATAGCAGGAAGAGTGTAGGAAGCAGAGGTTTGAGGGGTTCTCATACCCGACTCATGATATCATTGAAGTCTGCCAGATGAGTCTTGCATCCCTTACACCCAAAGATCTTGTTGGAAGTCAGGTAGACGTTGTATGATAGACCCATGGCTGTAGTTATGCGGTTATTGCCGGGCAGGCGTGGGATGCGTTTCTGTTGGGATCTGAGATGGCAGTCGCGGTCCTGAGAGGTGAGTTCGAAGCAGGAGAGAGCTGACACTTGAATCTAGAGGGGGAATATGCGGCCGTTTATTTGAAAAGGGGCAGCGTGTATGCCTGCTTTCTTCGATATGGACTAGTTGGTCCCGCCCTGGTTGGACTTGGGAGGACTTATGTTGTAGTCCTGGTGTTGACCTCTTTAATGGATTTGAGATTTTATGCTCTGGCAAATGCAGTGTTTCTCGATTTATGGTAAGGTATCCCTGGCCCTTGTGGAGCGTCTATGGAAGGAGGAGGACGTGCTGTCGGACTTCACTGGAGCTGACGTGTAGACGATAAGCTGATAAGCGGATCGGAAGGAGATTCGGGATTCACGGAGGCAGTAGGGCACCAGGTTAAATGCTCTTCGAAAATATCAGCTGGCTCAGGGTGTACAGAGGTTTCAAAAGTCAAGAGCCTGCCCAGGTGAGCTCGGAGGCTTAAGTCACTCGGCCTGATGCCCCGCACTGCGAAGGGGCATAGGCCAGGATCATATGCCCTGTTTTTCAGGCGTCGATGCCTGAATTAACGTATTCGGTAACGTAATCGGTAAGCGAGTGGCCATCTCCAAAACACATAGTAAATGCGATAGATTACAACTTGATATCTCGACAACGATAGTCTATGTAGAGATTTCCTTATGACCTAGGCAATATCTAGCCGCTTTCGGGAGTTTGGGAAATATATATATGACTTAGAGATTACGAGACATATATTTCAGGCTTTTAGCAGCGTAATTTTCGATACCATAATAATGCACCTTTCCGATTCTCTTAAGATTGATATATAGTATTAGACGTTCTTATCAATAGCCATCGACAAGTAATGAAACCAAATAAAGACGTGCTTGTTAAGATATCAAGTTGTAATTTATCGCATATACTATGTGTTTTGGGGGTGGCCAGCTCACTTACCGAATACGTTATGCCTTAACTAGTTGACTTACTAACTAATTAATTAACTAAGGTGTCAATTCTGAAAACCAGGGTTTTGACCCTTGCTAACTACATAACTATGCCCCGCACTGGTTCTGGGTCGTTGATAGCCTCAACCTTGGAATGCGTGAATAGGAATAGAAAACGTCGCACGATCAAAAGGAAGCGCATTTTCTTCTGTATCGGGAGGCCAGCTGACCGTAATGTCATGTTCAAGCTTCAATTGTCTAAAGAGTCTAGGAATAGGATTCCATACTGTACCCTATAACTCAGCTGGGTCCTGGGTTTACTCATGAACCCAGTCCTCCAGTACGGTTGTTTTTCGCCTGTCCCTGTTTACTACGTGTTATGATTCAAATAAGGCCTATGAATTTTTTCCTCTCCTATTTTTATTCTTCTACATCGTATGCTTTCTAGCTTTGTATTGCAACGGGATTTTGCTCGTGATAAAACTGGCCTCGGCGAAGCAATAAACACCTTAGTGACAGGCAAATTAGAGTCATGTGGTCTAATGCAGTCCATTCGCAGTTTTCATTATAAGCAGCTAGTAAGAATCAATTTCTGGATACCATTATTTTCGCTTTATAGGCTGCGTGCTGGAGTAGACTGGGAGTGAATGATAGTTCTGTCCCTAAATTGATTTGACTCCTTGTACACGCTTTAAATACGCAGGGAGATCTCACGCGATGCCTCATGCGATTCCGGGAAATCTCACGGATTACATATGTATTTATCCCATTGTATCAAAGAGAGACGTCATTCTACTGCAACGCCAGAATATTATTTGAGCTGAGATCGCATTGGGACAATACTCTACAATTGTTATATGGAGACCTTACAGGCAAGACCTAAGAGCAAGTTCATGTCATCCAGCTTATGACCGAGTCGTGACACGAATAACCTCAACGCAGTTCTCAACCACTGAGACCAACGCAGACATAGAAATCAGGTTGCAAGCCAGAGCAATCATTCTTCACACCAATGTTCCACTTGTAGAAATCATTCAAGCTGATAGAGTTGGCAGCCGCGATATCATAGCATCCGTCCCCCTTCACAACATCATAGAACTTGTTACAGTTTCTGACCATGCCAGATTGAGTCGGCGTGGGTGTTGTTATTCCGGTACTAGCTGAGTGGGTCACACCGATGGTGGTTGGCGACTGACTAGTAGGGGAGATGTAGTGACTGAGGCAGTGCCGTTCGATGATCTGACACAGTAGCGGTAGCCCTTCTGCAAGGAGCAAGCGCTTGGGTTTGAGTCGTTATATGTGAGGGAAGGGTTCAGCTGCAACAGCTCATCGACTGTAATCCCAATAAAGTAGGCTATGTAGTCACATGTGTTCACAGTATTGGACCTGTTGACCCCAGGGTCGTAATATTGCTCGTACTGAGCACAATTAGACACCGTTCCCGATGCAATGGACAGAGTGGTATAGGCGGCCATGCTCGTGGACGTACTGGTCGCATTCATAACTGAAGGAAAGTCCCAGTAGGTGTCTGTCGGCAAGGTGGTGGTTGCCAAGCATGAGCTGGCAACAGTGCCGTGGTGAATACACTTAGTCTGACTGACGCCCCCATAGCCGGAATAAGTGTTTATATCTCCAACTGCCTTCACACAGTAAGATTCTCCCGGTATCAAGTTGTTGCAGCTTGTTGAGTTGACTTCTGGGTTCAGAAAGTAAAAGTCTAGCGGACTGATACCCATCTTCACTGTGATTAAGCTGCAGGTCTCGTTGGTAGCCACTTGGTGATACTCGGCACACCGAGTGTTTGTCCCATCGGCAAGAGATGTAGGAATGGGAGCAATGGTAATTGCGGCCGATGAGGAAACAGTGGGTGCGGCTCCTTTCTCGAAGCTCAGGCAAATCTGAGAACCTACCAACTGGTTCACATTGCTGCACTCCCGGTTAATATTGGGATTCCAAGAAATGAGTTGGGTCACAGTGAATGCATAATCGTGCGCAACCATAATGCTGTAGCATGTGTCATCCTCCTGCACTGTGTAGATATCACATGCTTCAGGGATGCAGAGCGCAGTGCCTGTAGAAGGAAAGCCAGCACAATAAGCCGGCAGATCGTTTTTGTAAAGCAGCTCATGTGTAGAGGAATTGAATTTCGTGCTGATTGAATAGCACGTATCACCTGCTTGGATGGTGTAATGCTCAGCGCAATCGGCAGTTGGGGTGGCCGAAGAGGAAATGGAAGAGACAGTTGAAGTAACAGAGATACTAGCTGTTGCTGAAGGAACAACAGTGTACACTGGCGGTGAGGTGACTGGGTAGTTGGTTTTAGAACAACTTGACGTCAGAGAAGAGAATTCCTCGGCCAGTTCTTCGTTGTACCCAAAGTACGAGTCAAGCTCTGTTTGCAAAGTACCAAGAAAGCAAGTTGAACAATTCTGCGCCGCTGTCATTCCGGTGGAAGAATTCAGCCAGTTTTCAATCTGTGGTGCACAGAATTTAGATGATCTGCCCTTTGCGTGAGTAAAGAATGATCCAAGCTAGAGACCTGTAAATGATCGAATACATACTCGTCCTTGATGCAGATGTAGTGGTAAGTGAAGATAAGTTGATCCAGCGTCAATGTGGGAGGGAAGCCCAGCCCCCCTGTTGTGATGCTATCCTCGGCAGTGCACCCTTCTATCTGTTGACTCCGAAGGTCCTGAAGGGAGCTTAGACAATTGCTTGTGCATAGATTGCTCAAATCCTCTTCACTTGGAAAATATCCATTCATGGCAACACTAGCAAGAGTGTAATTGCATTGCAGCGTCTTCTGGAGAGGGGCACTATATCAGAATTAGCTCTGAAACGCCGTGAAAGGCAACTTATACAGGGTATTCTCATGGACATACGCGCAGGCTGCTGAAAGAGAATCTGGGAATTCGATCGACGCCGCTTCCTCGCCGTCAGAAGATGTGAGAAAGACTTGCGACCAGGCCCCTGGGAGAGCAAGGCTTAGTACCTGTCAGCATTCTGTTAGTAAAAAGCGCTTTTGGAAGTGTGTTCGTCCAGTCGAGGGAGTAGGAAAAATCAATCAGCATACCAAATTTCGTATGAAGACCATTTTGAAAAAAATATGTCACTGCAAATTTCACACAGTAAGTTCCAAAGCACTTCCGAGTCGAGGGAGAAAAGAACCAAGAACAGGAAGACCTTTCTACACCGGTAGTATCATCGGGAGGGAAAGATCCGACAGACAGGAGACCTCCGTTTTGGTGCTAGAGATCAAGGATCTAAGATTGCACACATAAAATCTAGTTATTAAATACCACAATGCTACATCTGGCCTAACGGGGGCCAAAAAAGATCACCAGTAGGATTCTGTCGCAGTCAACTTCGTTCCCACAATTATTGCATCTTGCGCCTCTTGGCGGCTCTTAGCAACTCTTAGCTGAGCTTGGCGCTTATCAGGCTTCCATGGAGCGGGACCGTGCACCTAAATCTCGTAGTGCACGTAGCACGAACACTTGTTTGGCTAATATCTTAGCACGGAATGTATGTACTGAGGTATCCGTCATAGTAATTCAGGTATTCTAATTTTCTGCTGGCTTGAAACCAAGCCTTTTAGGCGGCTCTGCCCCTTCGCACCCCACATCCCACACCCCTTCATGGTTACTCTTCCAAGGTTATCTTCTCACCACTCTCTCAACGCTACAGGTGATACAGACCTACCACCCATCCAGCATCCCAATACTTGAGGAGAGAAGCCATGAGTACATGGGCAGCACTCAGCCATGGTGGGCCACAGCCACCACAAGAAAACATCGATAAATGGGAGAAAGCTGCCAATGAAAATGATTCCTCCATCCTCACTAACGAAGATTGTCTGGAAATGCTTCGCCGATGGCCTCTTGACCAAGCAAATTATTACTGCAACTTTTACGTTGGGTGTACCATCGATGAGCTTGTTCAAAAGGCCGCCAAAACGGATGGCCCGGACAACCTCACTGAGGCCGAAGCGATTATTATTCTCAACACTCCCTTCGGCGGTTGTGTCCCAGAGGATCAGAAATATATGGGAAATTATGATCGGTGGTCTGATAACACAAAGACGAAGTTCGAGAATGCTCTTAACTTGATTCTCGCAGAGATGGACACAGAGAAGAGAGCACGAGCGAATGCCGATATTGCTTTTGAGCGGGTCAAAGATACCAGAAGGCCCGAACTCAAGAATTTCTCCAGGGATGAACTCCTAAACATCGTGAATTGTAATAAGATAGCATGGGTTAAGGCCCTCCAAAAACACCTGGAAGAGCAGCCGGCCTGGGGATTTGTGTGCATACGGACCTCCTTCGGCGAAGACTCGTCGTGGGAGAAATTCAAGGAATTCTTTGTCCATGCTACGCAGTCCGCACTGGCATTCCCTCGGAATTCCCCTAGCATTCGGCCACGATGGAGGATACAGTGGGTAGAGGATCGATCTATGGAGAATGCCTCGGCGATTGATCTTTGCAGGTAGGACATTCCCTAATTTTCGACGTTTCTTTCTCTTCGTGGCAATCTTAGATATCAATTTACCCGGCTTATCTCTAACATCCCGCTGACTGATTTCCTAGCTACTTCCGACGTTTTTGCAAAGAAAACAAAGTTGAACCAGGACTCCGCCATGACGCATTTCTCTACGCCAATGGAGAAGCCATCGAGTCAGTCATGCATTCTCCTGTCTTGCCATCGCCAGCATTCGTCATCGCTTCAGAGGCAGCCTATGATGGAAAAGGTCCAGAACCTCCAATAGAGCTAGCGGACTATGCTGGATCGGTGCGAGTTGCCATACCGCATGTTTACACGACCTTCTGGGCGAGATTGCTCTCGACCGAGGAAGACATTCAGCAGAAATCATCACCCATGCAACGTACCTGGGGGGAGATTTTTTCGAAAGCACAAATTACCCGTGAAAAGACATATCCAATAAAATATTTTTTCATGGAGGTCTAGGGCATTTACGGAGCCGTAACAGCTGGTACAGGAGGGGAACTCTGGCATACGATGGAACTCCGATAGTTATCGGTGACGCGGTGACGATCTTGCATCTAGTGTCCCCAACGTCCTATGGGGTCATAGTCGTGTCAATATACCTAATTGGTACTAACACATGGATCCGGATGGAGAGAGTATACTACGCGTAGAAGAGAAAATGCGTAAGGCTGCGATGGCCAGCTAGATAGCACTGTTAGGCTTTTACCATGTTCTTCGCTTTCGATTCAGATCCATAGAGCGATAGGAAGAGAGGTTTCATTGCAGACGCATAGAATATTAACTAGGAAGTCATAGCGTCCACGGGTGAATGCAACCTCGGAAGGGCCCTAGCACTATAATCGGCCCTATAAAATTCAACCGGGCCGACAAACGACAAGATAAGCATTAATATTGAAAGCCACAAACCAAAGATGTGTTCCACTTCCACTTTCCCAATTGGATATCATAATCCCCGGATGTAGACGCTTCTCCCCGCAAAGGAGCCGAGCTGTGGTTTTCCGACCCGATGGGCAGTCAGGCCCCACAGTCGTCGCGCAGACCTTCTCTATCAGGAAATATACACAGAACATCTATCTTATCGACATGTCAGTATGGTTACTCTGGGGTTATGACAAAAAGTATGGGGTGTGACTGGAGAACTCGTTTATAAGTTTATGCCCCCTTGCTGGGAATCACCTGGGCTTGTCAAAATCATTCGGACTTGCCAGTTTTTGCCACTATTACAGCCATGGAAGACGAGAACCAGAAAGTGTTCCAGGGCACACCAAGTGAAGATGCCCGCCTGGAGAATTTGGGCTATGAGCAGGGTCAGTCTGTCGAGGAGAGTCTTTTGTATGAGTGCTAACCGGTGCAGAGCTCAAACGCTCTTTCGGTCTGATGGGAATGATTGGGTTTAGTTTCAGTGTGGTGACATCGTGAGTGTCATTCAAAATGTAGATGAGTGTCCACTAATCATTTTCTAGATGGACAGCACTGAGTGGCGTTTTCATCGTCGGAGTAACGTCTGGCGGGCCTCCGGTCATGGTTTTCAGTTTCATCGGCGTTAGTCTATTGACTTTGGCTGTCGCAATTCCCATGGCAGAGATGTGTTCTATGTATCCGGTAGCAGGTGGTCAATATTCATGGGTTGCAGCGCTTGCTCCACCAAAAGTCGCCCGAGGTCTTTCATACGTGACAGGATGGTTTATGCTAATCGGTACGCTTGTATCGAAGCACGCTATAAACATCTACTAACATGGAATAGGCCTCCTTGCTATGGGTGCTACCAACAATTCCATTGCTTCCAACTTCGTCTTGGGAATGGCAAACCTTGTCTTCCCCGAATTCGAGATTCAAAGATGGCACACCGTGCTGGTGGCTTGGCTTGTGGCATTCCTTTCTACCGCCGTCAACCTCTGGGGCTCGCACTTCTTGCATAAGATCTCAAAAGGAATTCTGATCTGGAATGTCTCCTCGTTCGTCATCGTCACCGCTACAATTCTCGCCATGAATGATCATAAGCAGCCCGCTCCTTTCGTTTTCCAGGATTTCCAAAACGGAACCGGATTTGGCACTGGAATGGCTGCAATTATCGGTGTTCTCCAAGCTTGCTTTGGCATGTGTTGCTACGATGCTCCTTCACACATGACCGAGGAAATGAAGTCTGCTTCCAAAGAGGCACCTAAGGCTATTATTCTCGCTGTTGTTTTGGGTGCTATAACAGGGTTTGCTTTCCTCGTCACCCTTTGTTTCTGCATTGGCGACATCGAAGCGACTGCAAACACAAGCACTGGTGTCCCTGTGATCCAAATTATTTACGACTCAACTGGAAGCAAGGCAGCCACTTGCGTGCTGTCAAGCTTGATCTCGGTGATTGTGATCGTCGCAGGAAACAACATTCTAGCCGAAGGATCGCGCGCCGTTTACGCCTTTGCCAGAGACAATGGTCTCCCCTTCTCGAAGTTCTTCAGCAAGGTCGACAGCAAGACACATGTTCCTGTCAATGCCGTTCTCCTCACCCTTGTGGTACAGCTGGCGCTCGATGCCATCGAATTTGGTACCACTACTGGCTTCCAGACCGTCATTGCCATCTCAACAGAAGGCTTCTGTAAGTTTCATTTACTGCATTTGATGGTGCCCTTATTGATAACCTTTCAGACTTGTCATACGCAATGGCCCTTATCAGCCGCCTCGCTGGCTACTATACGGGCCACGTAGTGAAGCTCGACGGACCATACTCATTCTCCGTGCCGGTATCCATCGCCTTTAACATTATCGGACTTCTATTCCTTCTCTTCGCGGCAATCACTTTCAACTTCCCTAGCGAGTATCCCGTCGGCCACGAATCAATGAACTACACCAGCGCTGCTATTGGCGTCGTTGCTCTCATTAGCATTGTCACTTGGATCACAACAGGGCGCAAGCACTTCTCGGGACCGGGTGCAGTGAGTTTCTTAAGTGGCGAGAATACTGCAACTCGAAATGTGGGAAGGGCCGCGGAGCATGTGGATGAGAAGAAGACTTGACATATTCAATGTTGTTTTTCGGAAGATTACTGTATACCGTACATATCTACAAAACCACCTGGCTAGCAGGTGATTCCAAGACCAGAATTGTGCTCTAGTGTCTACTCCGTGCTATTATTCATTATCATTTTAGAAGGTTATAACACCAAGAAGAATATATGTAGCAAGCATCTCGAAAGCTCTCAAGTTGCGCCGTATTTTTATAGAGCTCGGAGGTTCCCCCGACAGCACAACCCCCACTATGATCTCATCGCTTCTTGTCAACATCTTTGAATTCTTTCTTCTCATGCTCCCCGAGGTCAATTCTGAAACATGGCAAAACTCACTCTCCAGTCAAAGCATCGACTACAGTCAGGACATGAGATCCCAGTCATAGGATATGGGGTGGGTTACCCCGCAAACACATCTATCTACATATGAACCCCAAGAGCAAAGCTGACATTGTATGAATATAGGTGTATATGATGTACGTTTGAATCAATCCCTCATACCGAGTTCTCTAACCAAACGACAGTCCCGCACCCGCCACCGAGAAGGCTAGTCTCGAAGCTCTGAACGCTGGATTTCGCCATGTACGTGACCCGATAAAGATGGCAAGACTACACTAAACAAGGATATCCCAGATCGATTCTGCGGTCATGTACCGGAACGAGAAGCCCTGCGGAAAGGCAATCCTGAGTTCCAATCTGGATCGATCGCAGATCTTCCTGACCACCAAGATCCCGCCGGGATCAATGGGCTACGAGTCTACCAAGCGAACTATTAATTCGAGTCTACGAGAAGCAGCTCAGGAATACTTTGACCTGTAAGTACCCACAGGAATCAACAGACATCCCTATGGATTGGAATTTACGATCTAACCGCTGGAACCTAACCAACAGTATTCTCATCCATGCTCCCTACGGCGGCAAAGAAGCCCGTCTAGGTTCCTGGGATGCACTAGTCGAAGCCCAGAAAGCAGGGAAAGTGAAATCCATCGGTGTATCCAACTACGGTATCCACCACCTTGAAGAACTGGAGGCTTATATCCAGGGTGGTGGGGGTGGCCAGATCGATGTCGGTCAGTATGAGCTGCACCCGTGGCTAGATCACTCGGATATCGTGGAGTGGCTGCAGAAGAGGAATATTGTTGTTGAGGCATACTCGCCTCTTGCGCATGGGACTCGGTTGACAGAGCCTGCGTTGCTGTCTATCGGGAAGAAGTATGGGAAGACGCCGGCGCAGGTTATGATTCGGTGGAGTCTGCAGATGGTAAGTAGCATAGATTCGATTCAGGTAAAGGATATAGATGCTAATAGTCTGGTGTTAGGGATTTGTGCCTCTGCCCAAGTCTGTGACGCCGAAGCGCATTCGCGAGAATGCCGATGTCTTTGACTTTGAGTTGGCAGCCGAGGATATGAAGTTGCTTGATACAGGAGAGTATTCTCCCACGGACTGGGATCCGACAGGTGATATGGATTGAGGGTAGATTGTTGCAGGTTAGATGGGTTGAGTGGTTGTAGAGTGGAGGAATCTGGAGGAACGTTGGATTTGTCAGGCCCATGAGGGGCTCTCCGCGGGGTGGACTTGCGACTTTCAACTTTCAACTTTCAACTTTCGGACTCCGATCTTCATCTTTTGGCTTTACACTTGCGATTTAGATTTCAATACGTCTATCTCTAAGATCTCGCTTATTCCGCCATCATGAAGTTGATTCTATCCAGTTCGTAAGTGGTGTGTTATTCGATGCGCCTCGAATCAAGTCACTCAACCCTCACAGGAATATTATGCAAGCCGGACGGCAATCCGTCATTCGCCAGCCTGTGACCCAGAAATCAAATGTTGAGCTAATCAACTCGCTTCGATCGAACTTCCTTGCCTCGCAACAGACCGAAACCTCACCGGCCAACGGCACCAACACAAATGGTCAATCAGCCGCATCGCATCCGCCCTCATGGACCCTACAGACCGAGGATGGTCTCTATATCCCCGCTATCGACTTCTCACAGCCCGGCCTGTTAGAGGAGCGCGACCAATACGATATCACAGTGAAACTATTCTACCTACCGGGAATCCCGGTATCAAGGCGGTGCGCACACACCAGAGAGGCAATTGATCTGGTATTGAAGGAGTTACACGTCAAGTCTATCGATCTACTCATCGTCTCGTTCCCGGGGATCCTGTTCGATGCAGACGACGACAGCGAAGAAGAAGACAATGAGATGAGCAGCGGGGAACCGGACGACTTCGACAGCATGGTGCAGACATGGCAAGTGCTGGAATCGCTGCACGAGCAGGGCATGATCGCCCAGCTGGGCGTCGCTGAGTTCGGCAGCGAACGGTTGGCCCGGTTCCTGCCGTATACCAAGGTCAAGCCCTCGGTCGATCAGATCAATCTTAAGGATTGCTGTGTCGTTCCTAAACATTTGATTCTCTATGCGAAACAAGAGCAGATTCAACTCCTCACCCATAACGATTGCCATGACATTCTTCCTGTCGGCACGACGCGGGAATTGCTTGGTCCCGCGGAGAAGGGTGGTGCGGGGATCTTGGCTTCATCTCCCGAGGCCAACGACGGCATCCAGGGAGATGTCGAGCCGCAGTGGGTGGTCAAGTATACCGCAGTCGTCAAGGATCGCGGAGTAGTCGAGAACAAGGGGTATTTTGCTTCGGCTGATGTCGGCACGTGTGTCAAGGACCGGTCATGAATGCTTTTCTTTTCTTCTTTGTGTCGTCAATAAGGATATCTGTCGTGACAAGCGTGGCGTTTCTTTTCTGCTTTAAATTCGATCATAGCTGATGTGGGGGCGGTCGCATCCATCTCTTAAAATCAAAATCAAAGAGACTGGCTTAACCAAGCATGCTTCTCTTCCGCCCTCTCATGCGCACATCCTCAAGCCTCTTCAGCGCAGAAGCAGCCCCCTTGTAGCTTTCCCGGTAACCCAGAATCAGCTCCTCGAACAGAGGTTCCGAGCGCGGATGAGTACTCCCAATCGCCCGCTCCAGCACATACAAATCCACCGCCCGGTCCTCATCCTGATTGCTCTGCGACGCAAGACCGAAATCAATCAGCACGATATCCCCCTCCACAGAGGGCGAGCCAGCACCAACAGCATCGCTTGCATCCCCACATGGCCGCAGCATGAGATTACTCGTCGTCAAGTCTCCGTGCACAACACCAGCCTTGTGCAGGACACCAATGGCAGAGCCCATTTTCCTCAGCAAGCCGCGCACACGTGCCTCTTCGTTTTCAATCTGCGACGAATCTAACGAGGCCTGGTTCTGCTTCATCCATACTTCCCACTGCTCGAGAACTACCCGCACCACAGGCCCGTCAATCCATTCCATCATTAGCCAGGCACCGCCCCACCCGCCTTCTGAGCCGCCGTGTCCCTCCCAGTCCAGGGCTAGGACGGCTGGAACGCTAACGCCCTCCCGCACGAGTTTCGCGAGGCATCGTGCTTCTGACGTTATGCGTTGGCGGGTAAGTCGGCGGTCGAGAATTGGATGGCGGTAGGGTTTTGATGGGCGGATCTTGAGCGCGGCGGGGATGGAGGGGTTGAGAGAGGTGGTTTTGTAGAGGTGGGCTTCCGCGCCTTGAGTGAGTAGGATTGGTGGCGGAGTGGTATTATTGAAGGGGGAGGGGAGAGCTGGGGGTTTGTATTCTTCCATTGTGAGAGAGCTGGAGGGTTTGAGAGTTGGAGAGGTTGAAAGGTTGAAAGGGATGAAGTGAAGAGGAAAAAGTTCTGGTGGGGCGGATCTTGGAGTATAGCTATGCCTATGTAGGTAGCCACCTACAATTATTTGGATCTTTATAGGATTGAATATGTTAATATGTATGTTAATAGGTTAAGATACCAATGGAAGCAGAAGCAATTCATATATTAAATAATTGAAATCATCAGTGCATAGTATCTCATAATTATGTGGATGCATGAGTTCACAAACCCCTATATGTATACCCCTTTCCTCAATACCTCACTCCATATTAACAATTAAATGAAATCAGATGAAGATCCGGGCATACATTAGCCAACCGACAAGTGCCCTGATACATCCTCTCAAGAGTTGACGCCATAACCTCTAGATCAGTAGACTCCGACGACCAATGCTTCAGCGTTCGAATGGACAGCCTCACCAAAGCAGTCCAATTTGCCGGTAGACGCACCTGCCACGTACCAGGATCCCGACATACCTCGAGCTGATATAAGACAGCTCCGAGGATGTGCACAGCACAGGCGAAGCTGGCCCGCACCACATTCCAGATCCACTCGTGTCGGAATTGATACCAGTAGCTTGGTATTAGTGTGACGCAGTTGTCAATGGCCTTTTGTGCTAGGTGGAACACCTCCGCCCACATTGGGCTGTTCTTCCTGATGAATGTCGGCATTCCCTGGAAGTGAATCGCCAGGTAGAACGCGGGTCGGTAGATCCTCTCCAGTGCCATATGGTACCGCCCGCGGAAGAAGAACCTCAGGTCTGGGTTGTCTTTTTGGGATTGGATCCCGGCTACCGAGATTTGGTACCTTTTGGAAGAGTTAGCAAGGCGAGTTGGGAACATTTCATTGTCATTATTCGGGGAGTTTGGGGCTCGTACCATGACGATACAACGCGCTCCGCGTCCATTGTTTTTCTCAGGAGATCGGGGATATCTTTGGTCCAGCCCTTCTCCCCTTGACGCCACATGTCAGACACTATGTCATTAGTGGTCCGGCGGTTACAGATAGACCCGATGTAGAATTTCCAGCCCTTCTCTTCTTCGGTGCCGTCCAGTTCAAGACCTGGCCTGACTGCGAAGTCTTTATCTTCATCCATTTGGTCATATGAGGAAGGAGATCTGCGAGAGAATTTAGGGAATGGATCTGAATAGCCTAGACTTTCAAGACCACTGCTCCAGAGAGGGAGCTCGCTTTGCATCTCACTGTGGACAATACTTAGTTGACGATCAGATAAAAGCCCGGTGAAAAAACCTACTGTTCGGCTTGAATACAGGACCAGTATAATCTCGACTCCAGGTTATG